GGTTTGAGGAGATCGATCCTATACCATAAAAGATTTAAAACATCAGTCCTAGACTCTAAAAAGGCTTTAGGAGATTTGTCATATATAGGACAAATTTCCTAAAGCCTTTTAGAATCGAGGACCGATCGGCTAAATCCTTTTATGATATAGGATCGATCTCCTCAAATCGTTTTTAGGATATGGGATTGATCTTCTAAATCCTTTTAAGTATAGGATAGATCTCTTCAACCTTTTTTAGAGTATAGGATTGATCTGCTAAATCCTTTTAGGTGTAGGATAGATCTCCTAAATCCTTTCATAAACTCTTTTAGGATATAGAATAGATCTTCTAAACTCTTTAATAAACCGTTTTAGTGTATGGAAGTGAACTCCTGAATCCTTAAAAAGGATTTAGGAAAGGGTATATCATTCTCATAAACCCTTTGCAAGGGTTTATGAAAGGGTATTTGAAGTTCATAAACCCTTCTAAGGGTTTGGAAAAATGCAACGTAGCCTAAACCCTTTAAGAGTTTGTGAACCTCAAATACCCTTTCATAAACCTTTGCAAAGGGTATATGAAAGGGTTTATGAAATTCATATACCCTTCTCTACACCCTTATAAAAGGGTTTAGGAAAGTGTTTATTAAAATTTTGTGTAAGGTAAAAAAGGGTTTAGACTACGTTGCATTTTCCCCAACCCCTTAAGGGTTTATTATTCTACGGTTTTTTTATAGTGCAGCCCCACCCCGTCCCATGTCCCATGCTTCGTTGTCTCTTCCTGTTCCATCCCACTTCATTTTTCTTTCAGGATTTCATCCCGTCCTGCATTCCGCGCTGTCTTGTCCCATCTCGCCTCATTCTGTTACGTCGCATATCTCCTGCTTCTCGAACTGAAATTCAAAAAAGTACAAGAAATGTATACTTTCATCTTCAGTGTGAATCATTTATTTAACTGATCATATTTCAAAATAAGATTTACACAGCAACTCTTTTATCATGAAAAAAAAATGAAAAATTCAATAAGAAGTACAACTTTGAATGCTACTCATCAAGTAACTGATCTGAGAAAAAGTATATTATTGAGATTTTGTGGATTGATTGAAGACTGACGTTCAAACATGACGAGCTCACCTCCACTGAAGTCTCATTCGACTGTTGCTGTAGTTGCTGGAATGCAGTGGATCATTCGAGCCAACTTCGATAATAGTGGTAAATTTTTCTGGTGAAACTTCCAAAATACTAAAGGATTATCAACGACCAGTTCAGGATCAATGCGCATCGATAAATATTTGTCGACTTCATCTTCTGTTTCACCATATTCATCGCCAATATCACCTGGTTTATATTCTTCGCTGAATCTTTTCTTTTTCTTGAGAGGTGGCTCAGGAGCACCGTTCTGATCACTTGTTTGTTCAGATTCTCGAGTAAGTAGCACATGTTTTAAATTTTCACGTTCAGATATTTCTTTGAGATGCCTTCGGACATAACTTTTGCAAGCATTAATTTGAGCATTTGAACATTTGCGAAGATATCTGTATCGTGGATGCAAAAATGTAGCTGCGAAATGAATAGATTCCAAGACAAATATTGACTCGAGTAATTCGAGCAGTCGAAGCCGAAAGAAACGAATACCTAAAAGCAAAGAGTTTTCTTTCAATTTTCATGAAAAGGTTTATCTGCCATAGTGATTAAACTCACCATCTAATTCTTCCGATTCCAAATCATATCCATCATCACAATTTTTGTTGTCGCTTTTCATTGATACCAGATCATGCTCTTTGTTGAACTTGATCAAATTTTCGAAGGAACTCACGGCTTTCCGTAAAGTCAATACACAAATAAGAACTAAATATAATGATGGTTCGTTTCCTTTTTTTATCACCTTCATTATGTGTTTGAATGGACGTAATAAATGAATCAGACGTTTTATAATCCATCGATGCGATTAAACAAAATTTCTCTTCTTGTAGAATTTTTTTTTTGTTTCTTTGAAAGAGCGATCGATCGATTCAAATAGTTGCATAATTGAAAGCCAACGAACTTTGGTAGATTGACACAGACTAATTCTATCTTCCGATTGGATATTCTTGTTCAGCACATTCTAAAAAAACGAGAAAAATTAATGAACATCTGTTCTTTCGTTAATTCACCAGTTTCACGTATTTTACGATATCTTTGCAATTGTTCAGCGCTTTCAAAACTTTTCGAGCACAATTAGATAAATCCTTGATTTTTGTCTTTGATATATCAAAGAACACGTTCTCATCAATATCATCATCCAAAATAGAACAATTGACTTGATCTTCTGAACTGTATATAGGCCCATCCATCAAATCAGAAGAACAGCTTGTCTGAATCTTAAGTGACTCATTTTTGGTAGAAGCATAGCATCAAGATATTGTTCAATCGATGAACAAAACAGAAATACGTAGAGAAATTCTTGAATGATTTGGCACAGTTCGGAGCTCAGTCGCTCACAAATTTTCGAAGAGATATATCAACACTACCAAATCTTTTTAATTCTTTTTTGCATTGTCTAAGAAATACAAATAATTCCAGTGAGATGAGAAAAAGATACTCTTATAACTGACTATATGAATCAGAAGTATCAAAAAATAATTTTTATTGGAAAAATAATGTTTTGATTAAAAATTAATTTTTATTGAAAAAATAATGTTTTGATTACAAATTAATTTTGATTCAAAAAACAATATTTTGATTACAAATTAATTTTCATTCAGAAAACAATGTCCTGATTAAAAATTATTTTTTATTTAAAAAGTGATTTTTTTATGTTTATGTTGCGTTTAATTAGTTATAAGATATTGTTATAAACCCATGTGTTATTATAATGAAAACGATACTTACTGCAAAGATACTTTCAACAGTTTTGTCTTCTTCTTCAAATGGAGAGCAACAAAGATCATATGATCGAAATTCGAATTGATCATTGACGAATGTAGCAGTAATTCCTAGATAAGAAACCTGATAAACAGGATCACTCCACATATAGGGACAAAAGGTAACAGCATCGTTTTGAAGAGGTTTAAGTAGTTCTTCGCTGATACGAGCTCGATGTTTTTCAGCAAGTTTAGAAATATGAGCAGCAGTCACATCGGCATCTCTCAACACTTGATCTACATTTACATTTTCATAACGATCATCTTAGAAGAAAGAATAAACAGAGAGTATTAAAATTTTCAATCAAATACTCACCGATTGATACACATTCTTGAATCAATCGACGTAGTCCATTATCTTCAACGATTGAAAATGGACGAATACTTTGACAAATCCATTCAACTTGTAAATCTTTTATCTTCATAATTTCAGATTCTTTCAAACTTGTTTGTTTTGCTCGAAAAAATGAAGTTAAACATTCTTGTGTTGTAGAGGTTCCATTTGCTTCTAATATTTTATTTCTTTTTTTTGAACTTTCACAATTATGCTGACTCAGCATTCGAGTACTATTTGACACAAATGAATAAGTAGTAAAACATTTCTTACATGACACGAAGCCATCAATTCGCTGAGGATCACTATTCTTCTTAACGATGGCAGGAAAACCAAATGAAGACCAACAATCAGATTTGCGCTTTCCGGTAGTTTCTATTATAGTATATTGTTCAGGTTTTATTCTGAGCATCGATTGAACCTGAGTAGACGTTAATTTAATCGAATTACGAGAAGAAGAGGTCGATAACTTGACCAAAGAAGTATTCGAATCAGAAGAATTAGCATTTCCAACACGTGATATGGAAACCGGTGATAAAATTTCAGGAGAAGACATGATGTTGTTCTTTGGTTAAACAGGGACTGCTAATATCTGAAAATAACAAGATATTAAATAAACAATGAAATAAAAAAGAATGAAATAAAAAATGAATAAGTAAACTACAGTGTTGTGAAAAATTATAGAATTACCTGTTTGAGTCCAGTTATTTGCTCGTTCTCTGCCAGTTAAGACTT